ACCTCGGACAAACCACTTCCCTTCTCTGCTCCCTGGTTCCTCATTTGACTGAAGAGGGGGTGCTCGCTCTAAGGACGATAACCATGGCAACGCTAGTAGTAAACATACTTGGCCATCTCTGACTATGTGCCGCTTTCAGCGTTTGAACTCAATCCTCTTAACTACGCATTAGGTAGGTAGCATCATTATGTCCGTTTTACAGATGAGGATGCTAAGGTTTCAGGACATGAATCGTCCTGTCCAAGGTCACATAGAGAGCCGGTCAAAGTAGCTGGACTTCAGGCCTCATCCTAAGCCCCATCTTGATGTGTTTTAGGGGTCCGGGGGCTAGGGTGGGAGCAAGCCTCTTCCCACCAGCCATGCTGGAGGTCGAGTCTGGCCAGCTGGTTCAGATCCCAGCTCTGCCACTCACTAGCCAGGGGCACTTGGGCATATATCTCCTCCGAGCCCTTCTCTGGACCCTTGGACAGTCAATAAATATTTGCTAAATGAATGAGTAAATGCCTAACAAACATGGCTATGTTGTAATAGCTCTACTCAATGGGACAGTAGACAATAATTTAAAATAATATGTAATACGATTAAAACAACCACCTACAGTGTTAACGAGCAAAAGCATGAAGAACGCGATTGCAGCCAGGTGAAAAGACTTAGTGTCAACTAGAGTAGAGAAACTGGAAAAACACTATAATGGTGGTGTGATCAGGCAACTGGACTGACTGTACATTTTCCCCCTAATTGTCCCTGTTTTTCAATTGTTAATTGCCTGTATCACCGTCCTAAAGGGGACATTAAAAAAAAAAAATCACTGCATCCAGCTGGCATCCACAATCTAGCCCCCGACAAAGTTCCCAGTGCCCTCGCCAAGGGCTTACTCATCCCATCTGTTAGAATTCTTTTGACGAGAGGGGCCTCTGTGCCCCCAGAGCCCCTGTCTATTTCTCAGCCACAGTCAACTTTCCTTCAAACCAGGAGACCCCCACTGTCTGCCAATAGGACTCTTGTATCTTCCTTTAATTCTACTCTTTCATTGACATCCCAGTACACCTTCAGGTGCCCTTAACCTGTGCCCTTGACCTCACTGACCTCCAGAGGGCCTCAGCCATCCAGTGTCTCTTGTTTCTCCCTCTTCCCGGTGGCAGAACTGGTCTCCTGGAGGCCAGGCCACTGGGTGGAGCCTCCAGTGGCATCAACAGTGACAACCCTCGGCTGCATTCTCCCGCTTACTGGGCATGGACTTTGGGTGGCCTGAGGCCATACTGGAAGGCTGCCTTTGGGGTCTGGGCCTGACCCTTAGAACAGTTCAAAAACACTGGCGTGACTTGAGGCAAGATGGACATCATTGAATCTGCGTTCTTTAAGGTGGTTCTGGCTACAGTGCAGAGAGTGTCAGAGGTGAGGAGAGTAGGCCCGTCAGAGGAGTGAGGGGCTGCTGAGAAATCGGGGGGTGGGGTGGGGGGGCGGTCAGATGAGAGATGTGCGAGTGGGAGGGCTTGGCACCATCTGGCAGACAGCTATACCCAAGAACCGCATATTTAATGCACCGCCAGGTTCAAAGGGGTCGCCCATCGTTTATACCCTGAATGGGCTGCCCGGGCCTCCCCTTAGAGCTACAATTGTCACAGTCATTTACATCCGATTAAGAAGTGGAAGTGGCTGCTCATAATGGGCCTTATTCGGTTTTCTGCTTGAACATCTACAGCAGGGACACCCGGTAAAGGGGCATGCCCTTCCCTCTGTGTTCCCAAGAGGGCCCCCTCAGGATCTTCAGGAGAAGGCAGCTTTAAACCCATCTCTGTGGACTAGCATTTTACATTTGGAAAAGGAACAAAATACTTACTTTTTCCCCATTGCAACCACAGGAAGAAAAACTTGACAAAATCTTCCTGGCTAGTGGATATATGTATCTCTGGGTGGAAGGAGAGTCATGGATTCTCAGAGTCAGGGGTTGTAGAAAGGGTTATGGGTTTAACAGTGTATAGAATCATTTATCTAGAGAAGTGACCTCCAGTCCTCATTGCTTTTTTTTTGTTTTTTAGAAATACAGATGTCCAGACCCTGCCACAGACCTGCTGAGTCAGAATCTGGGACCAGGGTTTGGGAGAGGTGGGGGCAGTCAGTGCAGTGGACCTGAGCCAGCAGACTGGAAGGGGGCCTGGGGCCTGACTGTTGCAGATTGATTCAAATCCTAGATAAAGATTTTCAGCCCTTCTGCCCTTGCTGGGGGGGCCTGAATTTTTTTCCTTTCACCCTTGGGGGTGTCCTGGACCACCTCTGCTGTCTCTGATTATGCCAACCTTGTTTAACAGAGGGAGGCAAGTCAGGAGGATGGATGAGCCATGATGAAAAAAAAAAAAAACTGTTTGCATCTCCAGCTGAAGAGGAAATTCTCAATTAGACTTCGAACTGTTCTTTCAGTAGTGTGCATACATCACAGTTAATAATGTGGAACAGACCTGAGATCTTTATTGGCTTTTTTTCTGATTATAAAGGTGATGCATATTTTAGGTTGCTCAGTCAGAGACAAAGGGATAAATCAACCAAAATGAACAAAGCGACATCAGAGACATCTGTTGTGTGTGCTACTTGATGACAATAAGAAAGAAATATGTGTCATGGGCGTGCAGAAACAGCTGTGCCAAAATGTCCTGATCGTTAACAAGCGACTCCCAAGAGAAGCGTTTATTCATTTATTCAACAAATATTTATTGAGCATCTATTTGGTGATCAGGGACTAGGGAAGTGCCAGAATGCCCACCCACTGACCCGAGAAGTGTCTCTGTGGGAGTGGGTGCAGGTACAGAGAGTACATCATGGCAGGGTGCACCTGAACCTCCTTTGCCCTCACTCCCACCCCTTCCTGGCAGGTGACGGATCTTGGCCGCCATGCCAGCCGCCGCTTCTTCAACTGGTTTTATTGGAGCATCAATGTGGGGGCTG